AATGCCGAGGTATTTCCGAGGAAACCACAACGGGTGTACACAATCTCTACCGCATGATGAAAAATGGCACCTTGAAAGTTCCTGCAATAAATGTAAACGATTCAGTAACAAAGGTTCGTCGGAGAAGTAAAGTATTACTGCTACGATTCTTTTATCGTAAGTTCCACTGAGAGGTATAAGTTATATAGCAGAATAACAAGATCGCGGCATCTCCCAATTGAAAGATTGTTCTTGGCAATAATTTTAATCACATAGGTCGTAGATAAAGCTTTGTACTATTGTATGAATTGGAAATTTATAGTGATAAACATTTAATCCTTAATGAGATAAACAAGGGAGGAGGAGAATTATTTAAGATTTGAGAATTTAGGGTCTCTAGAGCAACTCTATGAACTTTCTCGTACATTATATATTCGTTTTAATTTCACCTCTTTAATAATCCAATTTTCAAATTGATTGTAAAACAAATTTACCTTTTTGTCGAATAGAGTAAGTTCGACAATTTATATGGATGTAGAGAGTCGTTGATCGATGGTATTAAACGAGCGACGGATGTCATGATCGCTGGGAAAGTCTGCGTAGTCGCTGGATACGGAGATGTTGGAAAGGGCTGTGCTCAGAGTCTTAGAGCATTCGGTGGACGTGTAATAATTACAGAGATTGACCCCATTAATGCTTTGCAAGCTGTCATGGAAGGATACGAGGTAATTGCTGAATCTCTAGGTCTATATTAATACACGTAAAATGTACTTGAGCTGATGTTCATCAGGAATTGCATTGAAAGTCAGTGAACTTTTAAATGTATCCTTCAGGTGACTACAATGGACGAAGCGTCGACCAAAGGACAAATTTATGTTACTACCACTGGCTGCAAAGATATTATAATGGGACACCACTTTGTAAATATGCCAGAGAATGCTATAGTCTGTAATATCGGTCATTTCGACTGTGAAATTGACGTCACGTGGCTTGAGAAAAACTCTGTTGGAAAAGTGAACATTAAACCCCAAGTAGACAGATATGAATTGCAGAACGGCAGGTGAATTAACTTCGTACTCGAAATTTACACTAAAAACAAAATTTCTAAATCAAAGAATCAAGCATTAAATCATATCAATTATTAGAATATAGTTAGAAACACATTTCACTTCTTACCAAGTTTATACACTGCTACTTGAATCAATTCTCACTTGGTTCCCTGATATTGCCAGTTCACCTCGGTTCTCCTTTTCCAGACATATTATTCTCCTCGCAGAAGGTCGGTTAGTTAACCTTGGATGCGCTACAGGACATTCTAGTTTCGTGATGAGCAACTCGTTCACGAATCAAGTGTTAGCACAAATAGAATTGTGGACCAAATCCAGTGCTTATCCAGTCGGTGTACACATGTTACCAAAGAAGTTGGACGAAGAAGTCGCTGCGTTGCATTTGAATCGCCTTGGCGTGAAGTTGACTAAATTGACGGAAGAACAAGCGAAATATCTTGATGTACCTATAGAAGGACCTTATAAGCCTGATCATTATCGATATTAGTTACTATTTCAATCCAGGGGCTCTTGTGTACTTGCTTTTCTATGACGAACTCAATAAAAACGCTACAGATATAGTGCCTTAATTTAAGTGGTCAACTATCAATTCTTATAGTTGCTCATTTGTTGATATCAATCTTGATTATAAAATAGATTATAAAATCGAAATTGTATGTTTTGTAAGTGTTTCGCTTTTAATTTCATAATTTTGCTACGTTCTATTACCGCTTTTATATAAGACCATCTTTTTCAATAAGTTTTGTATAGATGGCAGATAAAAGAGTTCTCCTATCTCCATTAGAAATTAGTCGTCTGATAAAGATAATGATACTTAAAATAAAGGCTTTAAATATTTTATTATACGAACCTGTATATTATATGATTAATTGATCAGAGGGTCATGCTTAACTTTTGGTATAATTTATGGCTCCTTCAAATCAAAAGAATATCCTGTGCTGAAAAAAGTGAGATGAAAAAGAAAGAGAGAGAAAGGTCTACTAAAGAAACATTTCTTGCTCATAAAAAACTTTGTCGCAATGCCCATTTATTTTAATATTTTTTAATGTATTTATGATATATTTTCTAGTCTGTTCTTACAGCTTAGAAAAAAATTCTACAGAATATTACCATCGCGAAGAAGTTAAATTCAGTGAAAAATAATAATAGAAAAGCGTAAAAGTGACAAAAGATATTAAATATAAAGAAAAACATATTTATTATCTTCTTGTAACATTCATTATATATCTTCACGGTTATGTACAATGTCTCTTATCATTTATTTACAATTTTAGTAGAGCAGAACTTTCTTGTAGACAATAACATCCACAGCCTGTGGGGCATAATGTTTTGCTGGTAAACCATGTTGCTAAATGTTGCGTGTGTCCTCCATGTCCACAAAAAATACAAAAATTACTTGGACCTGAATATAAAAAGAAAAATAATTTTATATTTTACGATTAAAAAAAAAAAATTTTAATTTTACCGCATTAATTAAATTTACCTCGAACGGAGATGTGACAAATTACACATTCCAGTGCTAATCGTTTGCAATTTATACATTGAGGTCCTCTACTAACTTTACCGCATAATTGACATTCACTCTGAAATTCGACACCTTTGTGTGTGTCCAACGGAGTTGTACTCACATGCTTTAATACTTGGGCACGTGCATCTAATAATCGCCACCTGTGTAGCACTTCAGCATACGCTTTTTTATAGCCATCGTAAAGAGTAGTATATTTTTCATCGAGTAACCTGCACGATCAATATTTATGCTTAAATCATAATAAAATTGCACAATTCTAAATCAGAATTTTTACCTATTAGTTTACAATTGTATACCTAATATTTTTTACAGAATCTCCAAATGTATCTTGAATTAGTTTTAAATCATCAAGCGAATCGGACCATGAGTTAGATCGATGTTGCTTTAAATTTTGAAAGTTCCATCCTTCTAATGTAGTATCGGCTAGATGAATCGTATGATACGGGGAACCACCAGGCTAAAATGATGTATCATATGATGTATAAGATTACAAATTGATTTATGAATGTTGTACAAATAATATGAACACAATATACATAATTGACATAAATGAAAGGCATAATGTCTATGATCACTTTCTGCACTAAGGTATTTGTCTTCTGTGTGACATTTCTAGGTATTATCACAACAAACAGTACATCACATATGATTAATTACAACTAACATGTACGATTATTTTATGGGTATTAATTACAATATAAAACAACTATTGAATGCAAGATAAAAAGTTTGGCATTTTAAGAATTAAGCATGGCCAAACCTGCATGCTTTGTGGCATCACGATACTTCCACTCCGATGCTGTAAGACGGTAACAAATATCACCATGATAAAAGAGAACCCTAAGAACCAATACATTTCAAACACGCACAAACTTAGAAAATTAGAAAACCATGCCTTACCTTTAACCACCATTTTCCTGTAGAAAGCCTCTATAACAGAGATAACATAGTATCAATCATTTGATAATTTTTTAAATATATATTAGGAAAAAAAATACTGAAATAAAACAATAAATTACGTCGGTACAATATGATTCATTTAAATTCCATATTATACAAGTTTAAAAATTTGTTGCAATTATGACATATAATACCGTCGTATCATAAGATATTTAAATATTTAAATTATATTTATTCATGCATCAGAAGAAAAAAATGTGTGCAAAGTATGAAAGATGTGATATACTGTAGTTTAAGTCAACACTGAAACATGAACAGTGATACAACAGATGATAATGTTTGAAGATAATCCTCGAGTACTGAGATGTTCAGCATGTTTTGTGAACAGAAGACAAAATATGATCAAGACATGTAAAGTATCAGCTATCAATGATGCTATAAAAACAGTGCTTGTGCCAGGCCATGCTAGAACATTTTAATATTTACAAGATAAATGTAGTGTACTTACACTAACATTAATGGATTTGCTACTTAGACGTGTCTGACTGACATCAGGACTTTCCGAACGAAAACTAAATGCACAACTCAGCATACCTGCCATTTGAATATCTGACTGATTGGCATAATGCTGTATTCTATAATAAACACAAATTTCTGTACAATATTCTGTTCATATTACAAATAGTGCATCCATTACTTACAAGGAATGAATTAAATTTTGACCAAAAGGGTGCAAAGGCCATGGAGCATCAATATCAGGTGATTGACAAGAGTTTTGTCCAATATTCGAAACTGGTTGCGATATCACAAGAGCAGCTAAACACCATGCCTGAACTAAATCAGGACGTTCTAATGATGCAGCAATATTTGCATTATATTGACACATCGCTGGGATATCGGTGATATTGATACTAAATATAAAATAAAATTAAAAAATTACTTTCTGAAAATAGTAATCGAAGTACAATTATCTATTGCACTCACACATATTTTTCAGCAAGTTCTTTGTTGACGAAAAACAATGAAGAGGCATCGTATATCATTACCATAAAATGGTAATTTTTACAACATGACCTATGAGTCATTCTATTTGTATTATGTAATCCGCGATTCATTTCCTGTTAATATGAAAATAATATTTAATAAAGTTCATAAGTACTTTAAATTATTATAGTCTTTCCAAGAAATGTTACACATACTCGATCTTGAAAATAAAAGGAACTTATAGGAATGTTATCATTTGATTGTACATAAGAATTTGGATACATGTGCATAAAATGTTCCCCGTTGCCTATTCCGTTTCCTAATGCAGAAAGTGCTCTGGGTGTTGTACACTCTGGTTTCATAGATGATCTTCTCGTATATGAAGCACGACCAAAACATACGAGTATACCTAATAAAACAATGAATTAGTGTACGATATTTTTGTTTTTTCCCTATTGAATACATACCTACACAACAAAACTTAGCGCCAGATGTTCTAGGAAACGGTATATAGGCGTCTTGATAGTTTGTATACATATTAGAGGAACTTAAGAAATTAGCATTGTCTTGAATGTCATATCCTAAGTGACTACTTTCATTCTCATCTTTTTTACATGTCTATAGGAATAGAAATAATATCAAACATTATGCAAAACAAACGTCTGATCTGAAAAGTAAATTTTCTTTTACTTGCTCCAATGTTGTAATTAATTGCCTAAGACATGGTTCTAAACACGATCTGTTCTTTTTAACACGTTGTTGAGCAGTTTGTTTTAAAACTTTCAATAGCTTTGCCACCGTTGTATTGTCGATTGTTGTTCCAGAACAGAACTGGAATGTAGGTTGTGCACTGTATGGATAATTCGCGGGGAAATTTACTTTTAATATTACGTTATAACTTTTATTGGACGCTGTTACAGTACAACTACGTTCCACAGCATCCATTGTATTGACCTACAAAAACAAAAATGTGTATCTTTATATATGTGTATTTTATTTTTATTCGTATTACCTCTATATTTGGTATGTTCATATTTATTAACGAAAATTCTTGCTGTAAGGTCTTCGGTTGTGTAGGTGATGATATTTCTTTATTATTTTCAATATATGAATCTGTTTCGGAATTCAATACAGGTTCATCTACTTTCGTTGTTATACAATTCATTTCGCGATCAGTTTGAGTATCATTAAGTTGTAGTTGTTGGACGGATTGTAACGTTCCTATATTAATAGCAACTATATTAATTGTATGAAACTAAAAATAGATTATATTTTATAAACAAGGTATACCTACTTAGATTATTATCTTCTGAATATTGGGTATAAATAGATGTACCATCATCAATACCATGCCCACATAACTAAAACAGCATTTTATGTTGTATTACTTTATAAACAAAAGTCTCTATTTTGTACATACTATGTGTATACAAATACCTACTTTCTTTAAGAAAGGATCTATTTTATATATCCTTAAACATTGATCCTTTGACCAAGTAATTAATTCAAAATCACTATTTTCTACAAAACAAAATTACATTTCATTATGTTTTGTACTCTTATATCTGAAAATTTATTTACATAAAATATACCTAATTTTTGATGTCTCCATTGAAATTCAAGAACAACATCAGTATGTCCTACAAAAGTATAAATAGGGGCATTGAGATTTGTTGTATTCCACAATAACAAACTATTTTCTCCTCGACGTAATTGTGGTACTACTATTGTTACAAGTCCTTCTCCAAATGGCTGTGAATAACTTAGTTTTTATAGATAGAAAAAAACAAATTTTTTTTAAATAAAGTTATTTTTACCGTATATCTTGCCCTCCATACTGGTGAATTTGTTGTTAAAATACTTTCAGCTCTCCGTGGATTACTGATATCAAAAATTTTTACTGTACAATCTTGACTAGATGTTGCCAAGTGATTTTGTTGAAATGGACACCAATCTAAACCATGTATCTAAAATAGCTTCAGTGTTTATAAATATCTTATAGAACCTATACATTATTAAGGCGAATAGTTATTGTGAAGTCAGGCTGTACTTTTGTTAGATGATACCAGCTATAACATATTTAATTATATATCTTTTATAAGCATTCGTAAACTATTTTATCATATTTTTAGATTTCCATATTTACCAACTGCAGACAAAGATAAACTAGGTCTTCTTTGATCTCTTATGTCCCAAATATGTATAAATGTATCAATGCTACAAGAAGCAATGATATCTGGTTCTTTGGGATGCCAGTTTAAATCACTCACAACTCTTGTATGTGCTTTTAGACTATTTGTTGTTTGGAGGTCATAATTATTAGTTCCAATGAGAGATAATATTTCAATACGTGTATTGCTCTAGAATTTAAATTTAATTAGGTATATTTACAATATTGTTTACAAAATATAGGTTTAATTTCTAACCGATACAGCGCATAGATGACAATTTATACTTGTCGGATTCCATTCTGCAGAGCCAACTTCATATTTGCTCTGTCTTTGAAATTTTTTTAATATGTCAGTACTTTCATCAAGCTGTTTCACTGCGAAACATCTACGTCTAAAAATAGTAAAAAAAGAAAAATATCATTCAAAATGGATGAATACAAAAATTGAAAGAAACTAGTATATATAAAGTCTAATTTTTAATTACTTACCCAGCAAGTAACACATAATTACCCGTTGCATCCACGGCCATAGTATTAGCCTATATACATAAAACAAAAATAATTCAACAATAAAAAAAACAGTCGTGTGTTATAATATTCAAAATTGAAATGACGTTATTCGCAACAATAAAATACAATATATATTTTCTTCTTATGTGATAACCTACCTGTAAATCACGGTGCTCCGTAACCACATAGTCGCTGCCCCAACGTTTTGACATTTTACCAATAAATTCGAATTCCTGTCAGCATTCTGCAAGGTTAGAATTAAACCGAATACGCGGACTAGAATTGAATTGTATACGCAACCGTACACACATTCAAAGACAGCACACTCGTTGCATCGCGTCCTGTACATACACATCCTTATCGGTGGCTTTCGATTGGTTGAACAAAATTCATGTACATATCCCCACTAAAAACAAATATGGGCAAGGGAGTGAAGTAAGGGGCAACGAGGTAAAAAGAGTAAAAGAGAGCGAAAGAGAACTAGAGAGAGAGAGAAGTTCAAGACGCTTCTCTGTGCTATTTCTGTCACGTAGGACGCATATATTCGTTGTTGCATATAGGTGTACTCACATTGAAACGAAAATAATTGGTAAACGGTGCGAAACAGGAACAAAAAGGGTTGAAGTTTGTCGATGTTTGATTATTGCATCGAAGTTTGATCGAATTTTGGGTGTTTTTGTTTAACAGTGACCGTGGTAATTCAAGTGATAGTGACAACAATGTCCGTGATTATGGATTGTTTTCGTCAGTAGCGGACGTGTAAAGTTTCTTAGTCACTTTGTTTAGCTGACTTCCAATAAACGAGCCTGATTCGTCATTTTTCAACTTTGTGGCACATTCGCCAGCAACTTTCAGTTTAGCGCGAGTTTTTGATATAAAAACGGCATCTTTTGTTTCTCAAGGGTAGTTGCCTGTACTTTACGCCGTTTTCCCTCTCTTTAGCTTGATATCACTCATACAGCACAGAAAGGCATCACTCTTCACGGCTGAAGTTTTAATCTGAGAGCCGATTGCTGAAATCGGATTCTCGTCTCACGGACGTAAATTCGTCTCAATATCTTTAATTAGAGATCTGTGATGTACAAGCTCGGCGCCGCGGGAAAAATCATTACGTCCACAATTAATTTCGTACACTCAAAGAGGAAAGGAATTTTCATATACATAAAAAAGATGTACAAAGACTCAATAAGTCTTCGATGTCGTAGAAGTTTTTTAACTTTTCGATTATATTGAACACCTTGACCGTCCGACTGAGAAACGAGGTCAAGTTTAGTCGAAAAACACATTAAAGGTCACCAACTCCTATGTAATGGAGTATTAATGACAAAAGTGTTTCACTGGGAGATGCACCAAGGGTATCCAGTACAGAGACGCTGTTCTTACACACTGTAAAGGGAAACTGTTATTGTTGACAAGATGAAATTACTGGAGAGTACACGTTTTGAAGCTATAAACAGTGCCTTGTCCATCAAAACTGGAGACAGCAAAATAATAGGCAGGTAAGATGATTAAATTAACCATTTATTGGATCTCATCTATTTTCCAAAACAATCTTATAAATTGCCTTTCTCGATCCTCAGAATAGAGAGCTACTCTTGCAAAATGGCTGGAAATGATAAACAGCTGTATAAACGTTTCAATGCAGAACAAGGTTTTACTCCACATGATCTTCAAGCTTTATCACCACCACAAACATCCTTAGGAACATCACCTGCTCAAGGGTACTTTAGGTACTAAAAATTGTAGATGAGATATAAGAAAATAATAAATGTAAAAATATGGATATTATCCCTTTTAATATATAATAAAAGATATTGTTTTAATTAATAAAAACAATAAAGATCTACAGCACCTTATGTATGGTACATAGGAGTAGTTGTTTGATAACATGTGTTATCTCTTTAGTGATTTAATTAGTTTTCATATCTTTGCTACAGTCGCAGTGTTTCTGGTGATGAGGATGGCCCACTGTGTGATACAATCAGTAGAAAAACATTATTCTATTTGATTGCCACTTTGAATTCAGCTTTCCATCCAGATTATGATTTCTCTGATGCCAAGAGTCATGAATTCAGTAAAGAGCCAAGCTTGCAATGGGTCATGAATGCCGTAGACAGTAATTTAAGTGCAACCGCGGGAGATCATTATCGTACTCTTCGAACGGCACTTTGGGCTGCCGTTGACGATGAAATATTATTAAGTGAATGTGATATCTATAGGTAAATATTTGAATCAATATATTCACAATACAATATATTTGAAATTTTCAGTTTCATGGAAACAGAATGTAAAGTATACTGAATAAATTAAAAATGTAAAAACATTTTAGTTATAATCCAGATTTTGCATCTGATCCATTTGGAGAAGATGGATGCTTATGGTCTTTTAATTATTTCTTCTATAATAAGAAATTAAAACGCATTGTGTTTTTCCCATGCAGAGCAATAAAGTGAGTATATTCATTCTTGAATTAAATCTTGTTTGTTCATTTATATTCAGTATATTTTTTTTTAATATGTTTTTACAGTCCTCTCTACGTGTTAGATTCTGGTGTTGGCAGTGACTTTGCCATGGATGAAGATGAAGACAGATACTAAATTCATAATACATGTTTACAAACTTTGACACTATCTTTATTAATTCTGCCATATAAAGGCATGAATGAACATTAAATTTCATGTATTACATAACTTATTATGTACAATGATACATCTCATTTTTCATAATTTATATCACACTTGTAGTAGTGATATTTGTTTCAAATTCAATGTGTCTAATAGAAAATTCTACCATTTTTTGTCTTAGTCTTTCTTTTGTTTGTTCGACATTGTAGCGTAATTATAGTCAACAAAGAATCAAACAGAAGAACAATTTTGTAAAATTATAGAATCATATTTTTTTTATGAGCTTATAACTTCCATGTTCACATTTTACTATACAAGGTACTTTAAACATATAAATCAGTTACATATTAATCAAATTTTTATAAGTCTATGAAAACTACATGAATTTTCTTTTTACCTAAGGTAAAGAAATATTCAAGATTATCATATCAAAAAAGTTCTTCATCGATATTTATATAATAAAAAAGCAACGAACTTAGTGGATTTTAAATTGGTGTTGTGCTAGGTTGCTCTATTAGAGTTCTTTAGAATTGTTATAATAATAATATTAAAGTTAAAACAAATATAATTTGATATTATAAAATGCGAGTAAAAAATTATTAGAGCAACAATAAATCTAAAAGTGCAGCATTAACTTTTGAATCCTAGTCATTACATTTTTAAGTTACAAAAGATTTGTTAGCTGTTTGTGCTCTTTGCTATCAAAATCAGCCATGTGATATTCTTAATGTCTCGATAAGCTTTCCGTATAAAACATTATTTATGTTTTATTTATAACTTTTGACAAATATACACGATCGTAGTATCTATACATGTATTCTATCTATATAACACTATGTATCTATACACAAATATTCAATTTTGTGACGTTATGAAGATTTTAATTCAATACTCCTAATTTATACTGAACAAATTGATAAATAGATCATAAAATATGTATAAATTTTACAATAGTATGGTAGATTTTCCTAAAACTTTAATATAGAGTGGAGAATTTAATTCTATGCCACTGATAAATATATACATGTATATATATATATTTCGCGATTTTAAAAAACAGTACTATTAGATTAATAGCTTTTGGTTAAAAACAATAATCTTCAGACAATGGTTTACAAAAGTACTCAAATGCATATGTTTATAATGTTTAGAACTTGAAACGTATGTTAAACTCAAGTGTTTAAAATAATATGATACATATAGGAAAGAGTATGTTCCAAAATTATATATATGCACATGTATTGCAGATAAAATTTTCTTTAAAGATTTACCATCTTCATACAAGTATTCCTCCTCATTTACATTTTTACATTTCTGATTTTTTCATGTTTCATTAAAATACACTACTGTACATTACTCTTACTCAAACAAAATCTTAAGTCAATTGAGTATTCTGTTGTTTACATTCAGTGCTGATGTTTGCATTTGAGGTTAATTAACACAATGAAATATCAATATTTGGAGTGTTTGAATACTTTTGTTGGTCATTCATGGTGCGTGTTTGTGATAAATGTATTGTAAATATTGTATATTTCATTGAATTATTTTTTAATTTCACTGACAATCTTAAAACTTTTCTCTTGCTATAAGTACTATGTTGTTTTAAATACTGGAGTTTAACATACATGTTTCACGTGGAAAAAGTGATAAATGTAAGCATTTGGATAATTATGTTATCCACTGTGTATCACTTTAGCTTCTTCGAGCCTACATGTTTATTTATCAGCGTTTGGACAAACTTTATGAGTTGATACAATTCAGTTTTATTCTGTTCCTTTCTTTATCTTTTATCTTTAGTAGCATAAAGACTTTGTGAATAATTGCCTTTATCATATCAAATTGCATACATCAAATAAATAAAGCAACAAGCACAAACATTATGCCTATTTTCATTGTGTAGTAACTTCAAACCTAACTTACCTAAATTATCAGGTAATTTAACTTATTTGTACATCATAACATCAGAAGATTGATACATGCACATATATGCATCGCATAAGAGTCGTTTTGCATGCTCCGGTAAATGGCGATCGTCTGTTAATTCAGTTAAATAATTTCCACCCTCTTCACTTAGCCAATATGGGAAATCTGGACATGGAACCATTTCTGGTATATTGTAACCATTTTGTTCTCCTAAAGGCAAAAGGAAAATTGTAGAAGTTAATTAGAAATACACTCTACGAATTTATAAAAAATAATCAAAATACCTTTCCTATCAGCCATGGAATCAAAAAAACACCATGGTGCTTCTGAACCAGAACCACATTTCACGAAACATACATAATGAGAAGTTTCAATGCAAACCACTGCCGATAATTCAAGATATAATCGCGGAACGGGACAATGTTCTTGTAAAATGGCAAACTCCATTGGTACTATAAGTTTCTTTGGTTCATGATTTGTTCTCCGTTCATGTCGATGTACCTAAAAATACTCTGTAAATTAGTTCATCCTGTTTATCCATTTATTTATTTTACCTTTTCTAAACATTGCAAACAAAAAGCAATGCTTTCAAGTCCAACACCACATTCTCCAAAGCATTCTTTACATTCATATTCTGCCAATTTTCCACAAACAGTACATTGCCGTGGAGCTATAAATGGAAGAGAAAAAAATAATCAATATATTAATATATTATAATAACGATTTTTTTTCAATAATACCTACAATCCTCAATTATATCTGTTACATCAAGTAACAATGTAGGTTGAATTTTTTGATACATCTTGAACGATTTTCCAAACCGTGGCATTTGTATAATAAGGCATGAAGGAACTTCTTTCAATCTTATATTACTTGTAAGAAAACTTTGTTCTAATAATTGTTGCACAGTTGGAAGATTTAAATGATCGTCTTTCTCGACGAAAAGTTGGTAATGATATGCATCTTGTCCAGAACTTAATTTAAGAAATGGTTCAGCATTCAAAATTTGAGCAACTAAAGATGTTAGAAATTCTTCAGGATCTGAAAAAGTTTAAATAACCGTAATTCTTAAAATGTTAATTATGGGTATTACAATTATATACCTTTTTCTTCACTGGTAAGTCCGGATACGGAAGATAATTTTTCAAGCAAAGTTCGAAGTTTCATTACTCGATCTGCTCTTACAAACATATTTTTCCTAAGTGGATTTACAATTTCTTCGCGTAATACTCTTTGTACCTCTTCGTATTGTGGACAATCTTTTTCATTCGGTGGTCTTAAAAGAGAAAGAAAATATCATGTGTAACATCCTTCCATTTTGAATACAGATAAAATTAGAGTAATATTCAAACAATACCTAAATAAAAGATTATCAAAAACACTAGTAAATGTAAACATGCTGAAAAGAGTGGCATCTAAGTAGCATGAATTGTGATGACCTTGAATTCCCCGGTATTTTCCACAAATACTTTCTAAGTTTCCTTTTACAGAAATAGGTCGCACTATGCCGACAATAACAGAGCTTCCCATATTTCCGAAATTGTCTGTATTTATCGACGTCGTTGGATCATCAACTTTTACCTAGCACAAACATTTTTTGTTGTATAAATAAAAAAAGATGCATGAAATAATAATTACCATTGTATCATATCGAGAACATTGCTCCAGATCTGTGAAAACAGCTCTGTAAGGTCGACATTGAAAATATCTTACATCTTTGTATGTTCCATCAGTACCTGATGGGTGACTGTCATCCTAGAAATAAAATAATCATGTATTTCTTATTAACTTTTTAGACTTGTTTATTAATTTTTTTTGTTATACATACCAATTCTACAGCTGCCATCAATTTACCAGGTGTAACACCAGAAGGGGTTCCAATCCAACGAATAATTCCATAGTGTACATCAGAATCCAAAAGTACCTTCACATTTGAACCCACAATTAAATCTAAGTTCTCTGTTCGTCCAAATTTTTTATTTTCATTCTTTTCAGGTGTACTACCTGTTATAATAATAGAAATTTACACTCACATATTGAAATCAAAATAAAGTTATCATTTCATATAAAAAACTGATTCTGACTGAAAAAGAAATGCAATATAATTTGACAGGCTAAATAAACATAAAACATGGAAAGGTAGTAGAGTTCATAGATGTCTACTATTCCTTACTACAATCCAACAGATTTGAATGTTCAAGTGTCCCCTCAACATCACTATATAAATTTGATTCCATGTCACTACTCCATTTATGTTCTAATACAAAAAGAGGGATATTTTGCAATGCAGCAGCCATTTTATAATAAAATTATAAGTTTACAACACTGAGAAGCTTGCCGGTAATACTGAGTGAGACTAAGATTGTGGCTATTTTTAACCACCTCAGTTATTCTTAACTCCCTCTACTACACGTGGTAAGCAAAGACAGGCATACTAAGAGAGGTTTTTAGAAAAGTTAGCAAGATTTCCTAGTGAGCAAGAAGCCAAGATTAAAGTTTATTTCTATATTTCTGCTATTACCATGGGTAGTTGTGCTTTTAATTACATTGCTATCATTTTCATGTGTTGTTGATTTCATTGATTGCAGATATTCCTTTGGCAGAGATCTTTGATCTCTATTGTTATTTTTATTGTCATCAAATGTAGTAAATCTTTCTAACAGGACAGGTGGTATTGTATCCAATACAGATTTCTTTTTATCATTTGTACAATTACTTCCTGTTTCAATTTTTATTAAATAATCTAAAATTAACGTTTCAGTTAATAAATTGATATTTTATAAAATAAAGAAGATTTAATAAAAGGAAATTATTTGTGTACTTTTATCTGCTTTTGCAAGACCTGTAGGACCATCAGGTTTTAATGGGAATATATTACTTAATGTAGCAAATCTTCCTTCAGAGTGAGTAGAAACAAAGTATTCTTTACTAAGTAAAGCTGTTTTTGATGATTCTTGACATTCCTATAAGTATATAGTCATATAGTCATATAAGTTTATACATCTTAAGAGGAATATGTTAATAAAGAATATAAAAATCATATAATAAGTAAAATATTGCATAAAATTACCAATAAATCAAGGCCAAAATAATATCCTTGCCCAAGCTGTGGCACAGGTCCAATGTATTTAATAATAGCCAAATATTTGGTACATCCCAGGGGATCAGCACAATACCAAACAGTATCATTTATTACCAGACTCATAAGTTCTTCACATAAGTGTTTATAATTTGCTAAGCGAACCCTTTCTTGAGGGACTGAAACAGCAGGTAGAAATTTCCATACTTCTGGTGTTACTGAGATTAAATCAAATCTATGACAGCGCCATTCGGTGCCACGCCAAATTTCTGATCCTGTTGTATCAATAACGCGTATTTTAAGTGCACTATCACCCAAATCTTCGACAGCTTCGACAAGCATGCCGAGACGTAAAGTATTGACATTTTTGTCGCATTCTCCAGATATACACATCAGAATAGTATTTTGTTTAGCGACAAAATATTGGAAGACCTGACGGTCTTCCTTATTGCTAGAATTCCGCTTTTCCATCATTAATCATAGACAGTTATTGAGAAAAAACAATTCGTCGGCCACAACGTGTATGAAACACGCTGATAATATAGGACATTAACTTCAATCATTGTTAAGCTATTACCTTTTAGTTTAAAGTAAATAAACGGAAATTTTATGTTTATGCCACTTAATATACTAATAAAAATCACGAGTATGTAATAGAATTTATTAAAGAAATATTATTCGCAACATGCACGAACATTCATGACAATCAAATTCAAGCAGAAGAATATACTTTGTCTGTCAACCTATATAGGGTATTTAATACTAAGAAAAATGGATTTTGCTGTTGGTAACCGTAGATTTTAAGTCTAGTTCTCATTTACTAAAAATTACAGCATATTTCAATTAATTTTACAAAATAGAAAAAATTGTTTTATATTCTTAATTATCAAAAGTTTATAAAAATTTAAAATTATTTTATTCCAATATCGAAAGTTTACACAAAAAATTTAGAAATTATCCATTTAATGAAAATATGAAGTGCTATCACATATCCGATGATTAATGAAAAATCCAAAATTCCCTATAATTTTTACTTGACTGTTAAAGATACTTGTAAAACTCGTGAACATTGTGTTTCAAATATGAGCGATCTTGGGTGTACAGACATGTTCAACACCGATTCTTCTCGAGTAATACGAGATACTGGTTTTAGTGAATTATTACGGTCAGCGGAGCGATTATCTGCTGCTGTAGAAGGCAATGAAGAACTTCCTCAAGTTGAAAGAAATCTTCGTCAAATTTTAGAAGCTTCCAATGAACTCTGGTCTCGTGTCACACAGACCGGTACTCAAGACAATCAAGTGCAAGCGTAAGAAAATTTATATATTTATTGTAAATAAAACTTAAATTTAATTTTTAATCGTATCATTTAAAATGAATGTACTTAAAATTTATTTATATTCATGTTTGATGTAATACATAACCTATTTACAAATTACTGGCGCCAAAATATTCTTTCTTAGTTAACTATGTTTACAATAATACTTAGCATTTGTAGTAAAATAATTTATCTTATTTAATGTGTATATAATATAGTATTCATCTTAGAAAGCTTTTCTTTTATTAAAGTAAAATTTATTTGAAAGTGACATATTAATATTATGAAGAATGATGTTTAATAATTTCAGGCATCTTTTACTTGGTTCACGTGGTGTTGATTTACCTCAGATCTCACAGAAGCTAAGTTCGCTTAGTGCAAGACGTACGTTTGAACCTTTAGATCCTATTGCAGATACAGATATAGTTAGTTATCTTAGAAATGAGAAAGAAAATGCTATTTTATCAATTATCGAACAAGTTCATAAAGATGTAAGATATTTTAATATGTTTTATATCAATAACACCTTAAGATATTATATATAATTTTAAAATTCATTTCAGACATTTGAACTTACTAGAGTTCAACAAATGGAACATATGTTAGGTGAATGGAAACAAATGCGGTTTGAGATAATAAATGCCATGACAGCTCCATCTGGGGAGCTTGTAGATTTACGTGGTACACCACAACGTACTAAATTAGCTGGTTCAATGATTACTGGTTTATCTAGTGTAGAAGTAGCTTATGTAAAAGAATTACAAAATTATAATGATCATATACTTAGGGGTGTAGTGAAATTATATGATCATATAACTAGACCAAATTTATTTAATGCCTTTTGTAAAGCTGCTGAGTCATTTAATGACAAAAAGATTTTGGATCTTTGGCAAATGGTCAAATGTATGGTAGTTATTGAGCCAGTTCCTAGAGAAGATCAAATCAAATCAAGAAGTACACCTATTGTTGAACAAAAAATTGTGTTACATGCAAAAAATTATTTAGAAGATAGGTACAGGGATTTTATGACCTCAGTTATTAGTGAAAACTTGGCTCAAGCTAAAAGGGGTGGCATTCCAGGCACTATACCATTAGTTAAAAGTTTCGTTACCGTTAAAGTACAAAATTTAAGAGATTTAGAAGATGTCATGGTTGAGGGGAAACCATTGTGGCCTTTAGTCTATTATTGTATGAGAGTTGGTGATTACAAAGCAGCATTACAATGCCTTAGTCAATGTAATACAGAGTTTCCAGAATTTAGAGTTGCCTTGGAAGAAGCTTGTTGTGATCTTCAAAACCATCCTAGTAGTTCTGCAGAATCAAATTTAAAGTTGCAATACAGAAAACATGTTAGATCAGTTACTGATCCATATAAAAGAGTTGCATATTGTGCATTAGTTCCTTGTGAACCAGATGATTTGCATTCTGATGTGATTTGCACAGCTGATGATTATTTGTGGTTAAAACTGTGTCAAGTTAGAGATCAACCAGATGCAGAAAATAAATTGACTTTGGATTACTTACAAACTACGATATCAGAAATATATGGAGAATCATATTATCATGCACATGATCAACCATTTGTTTATTTTTCAATGTTATTTCTAACTGGTCAGTTTGAAGCTGCAATCGAGTTTTTGGCAAGAGGTGCAGGTGCAAGGCATTTACCACATGCTGTGCATTTAGCAGCTGCTATGCATGAACATAATTTATTAGGAGTTAGTCAAAGTGTCCTAGCTCCTTTAATAAGTGTTGATCCTGCAGATAAACCACCTGCAAAAAGATTAAACTTTGCCAGATTAATATTATTATATGTCAAACATTTTGATTCTACAGATCCAAAGGAATGTTTACACTATTTATTTTTATTAAGGTTTGTATAAAAATCAAGTAATTACTGCAATTATAAAGATTATAATTGAAATTGGAAATTAATTTGAATTACCTTTTAGATCTATGAAGGATCCACATGATCGTAATATGTTTGTTGCATCAGCTGCAGAAATGGTAGTTGATGCTTCTCCAGAAGTTAGAACTCGGTTAGTTGGAAAAATAGAAAAAGATCGTTGGATTCCAGGAATTTTAGATCAATTCCAGATTAATACAGAAGATGTTATAAATATAAGTGCAGATACTTTATATAGAAAGGGTCTTTTGGAAGATGCGGTAACAATGTATGATCTCGCTGGTAATCACGAGAAAGTTCTTAGTTTAATGTGTACACTCTTGGCGCAAGTTGTTAATCGAAAGGTTTCACCGGGATCACTCAGATCTCGATTGCAAGTGTCTGCTACTGAGATAAGCACGAGGTAATATTAAAAACTGCAACGTTATTCTTATTGGTGAATATAAAATACATAAGTAAATATTTATTTCTAGATATCAAAATATTGAGATACAAGCACCATCTGAATTAGTATCTGCATTTTACACTTTAAGGCATCTCATGGTGTTTTTCGATCAGTTTCATAATGAACAATATCAAAGTGCACTTAGGGTAAGATATACAGAATTATAAATATTTATATTCAAATTTTTGTAATAAATACATAATTACCTATTTGTAGACTATTGCGGAATCAAAATTATTACCATTGCATATAAAAGAAGTAGATGAAAGGGTAAACGCGTTACGGCGAGTTCCACCCGAAGTTGCTAGTACATTAGCTGACGTTCTTTTAGCTACAATGACAATATTGTATCGTCAGTATCAGAAGTTACGATCGATGGAGCCCGGTGATGAAGAAGCAAGGAAACAGCAACTTCTTGATCTTCGGGAACAAGCGCGAGCGTTAACTAGTTTCGCAGGAACGCTTCCATATCGCATGCCAAACGAAACAAATAGCAAACTTGTACAAATGGAAATCCTTATGTGCTGAATCAAACGTATTACGTTTCTTATTTTATTTTTAATATAATATTTTAAGCGATACAACAGGTATATTTGTGCGAATTCTAAATTCGTGAAGCACAGAGACAGTTACTGTTTACAATTCCTCAACTTTTTAAAGTATTATCAATACTTATAGAATGTATATATATTTTTTTGTACTTCCATAATTTAAACACAAATTATAAACAAAATAAATGTACTGACTTTTCAAAATTGCAATTGGACATAAGAAATGTAAGTATGAACATTTAACATATTGCAATAGTATATTTAAAAATATATTTGTTTTATTGATAAAATTTTTTATCCAAAGAAATTGTTGTCATTTGTATTACACGTCTTAAGAGATGTAACACATATTCCATGACTAAGATCTTGAACCTTTCCTTCTTTTACCTGAAATTTACTTCATATAACTATTGACATTCATTTTTATTCCATTATCATATATTAATATTACTTACAGCTCTATAATCAAGGAACATTTCTTTGAAGGCCATGAAGTCTGTGAATGTTGATAATACTTCAAAAACTTCACCTTCCAATTCATTCTGCTTATTACTAAATCATTTAATAATCATTTAAAAGAGAATCATTTTTAATAATATTTATAGATTTATACATTGAGTATAAAATTGCAATGCTTACTTTAAATATTCTAGAAATGTGTCTATATTAAAATGTGGTATAACCTTTTGTAAGTAACTAACAATATAATTTTCGACGGCCTTATTCTGTAAAACTTGTACATTAATATTCATATATGTATATATATATATATAGAAAATGATATTATTTTTTAAACACTTACATATTCATTAAATATATTTGTATAAATTAATTTATTTTCTTCTATAGGTTCAAAAACATTCCAATAATTGTCTAAAAATTTTTTTTGAATAGCATGAAATTCGTCTTCTACAAATAAAATTCTTATTTTAAAACTGAATATTTTTATAAACATTCTAATGTATACCTAATAACATATCTTCTATGTGTCCAATAATTTCATCGAAAAGATTATCTTCTAAATTTTTAGAACTTTGTTCCATATCTTCGTCAGTATTTATTAAAATACAATTGTTTTATCAGACAATTTCAATTGTTTATAAAAATAAGATACTATTTATTTTTACGATAAAATAAACTTATTATCTGTCAGATGTTGATATCGATAGTTCAATCACTATTGAAATCGAGAATCGAAGAGATTAGTCAACCAATCATGTTTATTGCCGTTACAGTTTGTATTTTTTGACAGTTAATTAGGTGAGCCGGGTATAGTTAATTGAAATTGTGATCATATCTTTCAAAACGAACATTTTTCGGTGATTTATTCTAATATTGTAATTATAAACTACGTTTTAACTAATATTGTACACCGACAAAATCATTCGTTCATTTGATCATATAATAAAGCAAATGTGTTCATATACGATTAAACAATAAAATGAATTTAATTTCAAACAATTTAGTCGGTGTTGTCGCATAACACACATTGCCAATCTGGATGACCTGTAGAATGTGTTTTGTTTCTTTCTTTTTTTTTTTTTTTCTTATCGGTCGAATTTGTTCCTATATGTCCATCAATTAAGACGCACTCGTATTTGTTAAATTAAGAATATCCAAAAATATAGATCCGCTCTCTGTTTTAATAAAAGAGTGGGTGACTAGCTTATATTTCTTACACGTGTTATATTAGCTATTGTGTTTAGTTGTATTGATTTATTAAATTAAATATATAGTTGCTTAAAAAAAGTAACGTTTTTAATTTATTAGTATATAACATCTTCCGTGGATAATATTTTGAAAGGAAATTCATATTCAATAGGTAAGTAGATATTCATAGAATTTTAATATGTTTCACTAATTCTCGCAAAAAATTTTCATTTCATAGGAACATATCAATGGAGATATATACCTTTGACAAGAGTCTTCAAGAGAGACTAGTTGAATTAGCCGAAATTTTATCCAGCAGAGATAAAATTGTCCCTGCATCACAAATTCAGGCAGAATGGTCTTTTCATGTAGAGCTTGTATTAGAACCTGTTGGCTGGCAAGCATTATGGAGAATACCACGTTTAGTCTGTGAAAATTTTCAAATTCATTATCCTACTATAGTAGTTGTAGAAGTTGAGCAAGTTGATTTCTCTGATCTATCTGCATTGGTAAAAATTACTGCAGTTCAAGAAGAAATTCAATTACCCGATAAATATGATGTACCACTCATTGAGCTTTATCCAACTCATAATCAAGAAAATAATGTTTTAGACATGGTGGGTACTGCAAGTTGTATTGATCAGCTAAGGTTTTTTTATAATTATTTATGGATGCCATGGGACTTAGATGATGATGATAATATTGATTGGGTGTCTGTACATTTGGAAACAAGGATCAGATTGTTTTTTGATATGAAGAGGGGTATTATTAGTAATGAAACTAGTGATATTATTAGAAGTTTGGTAAGAGAGGGAAGAGAAATCCAACAAAAGATATCAAGATTGGAGGATACTATTTCTGAAGGAGAAGAATCACACACGGATATAGTAGATGGAGGAACAGCATGCCAATTGATGAAACTTCATTTTCGATTACAAGAAATTAAAAGAGAGATGGAAGTTCTTGAAAATCCAGCTATGAGAGAAATTCTTGTTATGAATCAAACTTCATCTTTAAATAATGATAAAATAGAAAAGAAGGAAAGTAAAGTAAGATGTAAAGCAGGCCATTTTGTATGGCTTGGTGGTACTCTAGAAGAAATGAAAGAAACTATAAATAGAGTTCAAGCTTCTTTACCTGCAGAATTGTTTCTTAAGTAAGTTTGGTTTATATTACAAATGAATTATTGATTTTTAACTTTGATATATTTGTTTAGAATATCTGGATCTCTGTTGGAAACTCTACATGTATGCGATGCAGGAGATATTGTTGTAGTTGGGAAAGGAACTCATCAAATAAAGGGTACTGGTAGTTTAGAAGATGGAGGTACAATCAGAGGAATTTATAGTTCAGAGCATACTATTCTTAATACGAAAGACACTGAGAGTGCAACATCATTGCTTGACTTTTCTGGTAATGAAGTAAGTAATATATTTAAAATCAATTCATTTCCCTAGCTGATTGTAGTTACTATGTATTTATGATGTAGGATATGTATTTATAGGTTTTATTAGAAAATGTTACTGTTGATGTGGGTGATCTCAGAGCAGCTGTAATAGTGAGAGCTGGAGCCACAGTAATACTTAATTGTAAAATATGTGCTTTAAATCACAGTATGGTGAAATTAGGAGTTGTAGTTCTACCTGGTGCAAAACTAATAATAGAAAATACAGCTTTTGAAAACCTTGGTACTGGATTGGTTATTTATACCAAAGGAGACGTATTTATGCATAATTGCAGCTTCAAAAACTGTGCAGAGGGTATACAAGTACGTTACTATCGTTTACATTATTATGATAATATATAGTTACGAAACAATGTCATTTTAATCCCGTTGTTTTTAGTTTTGCGGCGATGGAAAATTATCAATTAAAAATTGTTTTTTGGGTTATTTTAAAGAATATGCTATTCGATTAGAAACGCAAAAATATTTAAATGATTCAAAACCTAAATGTGGTGGTATCGAACTATTAGAAAATGTATCTGAAATTTCTTTAGAAGAATGTAAATTTGAAGGTAATGGTAAAGGAGATGTCATGCTAAAATTATGGAAACCATTAGTTTCGAAGATGCAGAATGAATAAATGAATATGGAGGTTTAAAATAATTTATTTTATTACAAACAAATTTTTTCTTTTTATTATAAAAGTGCATGTGATTCCTGACTTTTGTACATATATATATTTATTTTTACATCCTGTCCTGTGGATTAGGAGAAGTTCTGATATTTACATCTTTGTACATTTTCTTAATTTACTTCTAACTTATATTCTCATCTTTTGCACAAATTACCAAAACAAAACACAGTTGCATCAAACAATCTTAATAAAACTCTTAAGTTAAGGTATAATTGTCTGATGTGTGTTATATTACATTATATTAATGAATTTTATCACCCTATCTTTTTTAACATCAACCTCCAGGCTTCATTTTTGATTCCATGTTATCCTGAAATTTTATCAATTGCTTGATAACTTTCGTATCTGATCCCTCTTATTCTAGAATTCTGTAAAAATATAAAAATTTCGTACTTTTTTACATAAATTTACTTAAAAGTTATACTCGTCTGTGGTATAACTATTTAATTTTTTTTTTTCAGTTGGTAAAAGCCAATTAAAAAACAGGCGGTAATTTTTGAAGTAAAAGATTCGTTGTTAGTTACGTTGTTCATGGTTAGATGGCGCCAGTATTTTAAATAGTTCGTATACGGCGTGTGTATCTATATTTTAAATTGTTGGGTTCTACTTGAAACAAGATTGTTAATGTTCTTATTAACTTTATTAATATAATTTCATACATCGTAGGGAAGATTCTTGTAAGTTTCTCCGTTATTTAACTTTTGTTATTCAGCTTAGTCTAATTACTTTTCTACGAGCAATTCAAACTTGCTTTCTAACCTAAACGCGTCTCCATTATTTGTTCAAGACTTTTATCAGTAATATTATTGTACGTCGCTTTATTGCATTTCATTCGTTATTTTTACCTATAACAGCAGTCGGAAAACGAATGATTTCATTCGAAAATATTTCGTGATTCGACTGAGATAAACCTAACCTGTAATATACAGTATCGAAACAATGTATACGTAACTGCATCTGTTACACGAGCTACGTGCATATCTCTCTATATATATAGTAGGAGATAACATCGCACGTGTACAGTATATTGGCGTGACGTAAATGATAATTCGATCCATACTCATAGCCGGATTCGTTTAAAGACTATAACCATCGGTATCTATAAATGAAGTTATAAGTACCTAGCCATGTGGTCGCATCACGTGTATACGAATGAATGAAGTAGCATGATTTAGAGATTCACACTTTTGATGATGAATGGAAATTCTCTCTCTAATCATGCCGCTTATCAGTTTTCCGGTCATTGCACGGGTATTATCTACGAAGGCAGTAACATTTTTAGATGTCGCTATAAATGCAATTATTTCGTAGAAAGTAGTAGGCATAATTTATTTCTAATAATGGTTTATTTAAACGTATAAAACATAAAAGAATTACATTATTAATATAAATATTTCTTTTCTTATTTCAGAATGTTCAGATCAGAAAAAGTATCAGAAAAAGTTGAGTAAATTGTGTTTCCACGAGTCAAGAATATGGTAGAGACGACCTGCTTGAAACAGTTGACCGATCAGCAGACGCAGTTCGGCAATGCGCGCAAATTAGACCTATCAGATTGCATCTTCGTGTTCAAAAGCTCCCAATCAGATTACGAGGAACCATTGTCAGATGCGGAGGTGAGTTGAGTTCGCTATTGCTTCGACCATATATGTATAGCGTGATCCATTTAAGTATATATATATATATATATCGATACATCTGGAAAAGCAATGTTTTAATTAAAAAAGGGAGATAGTTAAAATAACTGATATATTAACCCTTTGCATTCGAAGATGTTTTCACCACAAGGAACCAGGAATTTGAAGCTTTCTTTCTACGACTATAGGAACATTTTTCTAAATAAGGTAAAAAGAAGTCGTGGTACATAAATTAATTTATTGAACTTGTCACTGAATAATAATGCAGTTATTATTGGTGTCAAACATATGAAAATTGCCTCTCGAGTGCGAAGGGTTAAAGAATTGACAGAGATATAAGTCTAATCACGTTATACATATATTATTCTAGTTTTAAGGTTATGTGGCTATATACGAATGCGACGATTAATATATCATAAGACGATTCCTGCGTAGCTATCAGTGTAGGTTTACAAATTATCAATATATCTGTGAATGATACTCTTCGGATCGTGTATTTATTTCATGCGACGTCAGGAAGGGTCGTAAAAGCGTAGCTCGTAAAAGATTTACACGCGAACTTCTTAGTAATACACGAGCTACAATAAGCTCGCGCGCAGTATCGAAAAATATGGGATGGAGAAATTTATTTTGCGTTACGGTCACGACTTCTCGGAGCCGGGCTTATTTTTTTTCAAGAACCGGCCAGTCGGTAAAGAAAATACCATTGTATCATTTATTCCAATAATTCTAGTATCACATTTATTGTTTCTAGTCTAGTTGAAATCCGTATTTCCATTGATTCGAAGTTACGATATTAATATTTAGACAGACGAGCAGTGAGTTTCATTTAATTGTTATAACGATATAATATCACGGTGTAAAATTAGAGTGACACTCAGCTTCCGTTAAAACGAAGACAACGGACTCTACTCATCGCTGTCGATAAGTCGAGCATATCTTGGCTCTTCTTTGGCAAAAAGAAATGTTCCTGGCAATTATATCCTTTCGTAAAACATTCCCACGACGCGAGTCTCAGACCTGTTACTTTCACCGTATAGCGAAATCCACATTCCCTTGTGTAGGAACCGTTCACGCGGATGCTATGATCAAAAATTGCAACACTAGAGGCGAGCGAAAGGGAGAGGCCGCGAGATGGCGTACGCGAACGTTGTAGATCTTTTCGTTGCGTAGTTAATTATTGGCGAATCCGACATTCCTTTTAGGTCACCGTGGAATTTCTTTTATTTTCGTTTCCATTAAGCAACCTCGTATGTTATGCCACAAGTGGTGAACAATGCGTTAGGGATTAGTTTCTACTTTAACTCGTTTTATATATTTCGAGTTGCGATACCTCGATTCGCTTGTTCTACGTTTATTCGTTCCAACTCGTTCCAACCTGTTCGAACCTGTACCGATATAGTTTAGGTTTGAACGAATTTGCTGTGCTGAAGCTCGTTTTAATCGGTTCGAACATTCTCAAACCTGTTTGAATCTGTTCAAAGCTATTCGAACTCGCTCAAACATATTCAAACCTTGTTTAAACTAGTCCAAACGCGCACTAACTAGCTTCAGTTTGTTTAAACTTAAATTAATATAGTTAAAATATGCTTCAACCTAAATAGATACGCTACAGCCTGCTCTCTGAATCCCTCCAACTTATTTCACTCATCTCCAATTCGTTTCAACTTCTTCCAACCTGTTCAAACCTCTTCGAACTTGTTCAGTCTTCTCTTCGAATCTCTGCAACTTGTTTCATTCATCTCCAATTCGTTTCAACTCTTTACCACCTGTTCGAAGTTCTTCCAACTTGTTCAGTCTGCTCTCCGAATCGCTGCAATTTATTTATAACGTATTCAAACCTTGTTCAAACTAGTCCAAACGCGTACTAACTAGCTTCAGTTTGTTTAAACTTAAATTAATATAGTTAAAATATGCTTCAACCTAAGTAGATACGCTACAGCCTGCTCTCCGAATACCTCCAATTTATTTCACTCATCTCCAATTCGTTTCAACTTCTTCCAACCTGTTCAAACCTCTTCGAACTTGTTCAGTCTGCTCTTCGAATCTCTGCAACTTGTTTCACTCATCTCCAATTCATTTCAATTTCTTCCAACCTGTTCAAACATCTTCGAACTTGTTCAGCCTGCTCTCCGAATCTCTGAAATTTATTTATAACGTATTCAAACCTTGTTCAAACTAGTCCAAACGCGCACTAACTAGCTTCAGTTTGTTTGAACCTAAATTAATATAGTTCAAATACGCTTCAACCTAAGTAGATACGCTACAGCCTGTTCTCCGAATCTCTGCAACTTATTTCATTCATCTCCAATTCGTTTCAACTCTTTACAACCTGTTCGAACTTCTTCCAACTTGTTCAAAACTGTTCAAACTGACTCAAACGCGGTTCAACTCGCGTCGTCTCGAGTCCAACCCGTTCTTACGCGTTCCGACCGATTTCGTCGCATCGGCTGTTAGTTGGAAACCAGCACCAGCGTTAAAAAATTCGCGTGGAGTCGGAGCGCACGGTAGGAGAAAGGATTAAGTGCAAAAAGCCGTAACGTGACGTTAATGAGCCCGGTTGATTTAGAATTCCTCCCCTCTGTAAAACGACTTGGTTTTTTTTCCTCGTTCCTTCTTGCTTCCAACCTTCTGCTCGCGGTTCACGAGGAATCGCTAAAAACAACACGGAGGGAAGAGGGGCGAGCCTCATAACACGTCCGTCGATGCTTTTGACCGGCAGCACGAGTTATTTGCAGCCTGGTGTCTTTCGGAATGACTGATCGCCCTCTTGTCGCGCGTTCGTTCTCGCTTCTTCCTCCTCTTCTCGCCCCCTATCTCGTCTCTAATTTTTTCCGCCTGCAACGACGCCTGTTATTTCACTCGTCGCTCTGTCCCGCGTTTGAAACATTATTTCTAATTTTGATTGTGCTGCCCGTCCCGGTGCTCATCGACAAGTGAAACGGCTTCGTCGTTTACACATCCAAATTGCTCCAACGATTTTCGAACTCGGTACTCTTTGTTTCAGTGATAATTTTCATTTTCCAAGCAACAAACGACACTCATGCACACCACTTTTGTCGTTGCATGACATGTCGATTGGGACACGGGTTTAGGTTAGGTTAACGCGTTTCGCCTCGTCTCTCGTTTTTCCTTTCGCCTCTTCTCTCGAGCCTCATTCAGCCCTCGTTTCTCGTTTTTATTTTCCCCGAAGTTAATCTCTTCGCGGCGTTTCCTGATTTATTTACCGCCATCGTGCTCTTTCTCGTCGTTTTAATACGCTCGCTCCCTCTTTCGGCCGTTCTTCCATTCAGACCGTTCATTCAGCGT